TATTTACCATGGGCCATTCGGCGGTGGTTAATATTGGTATGTGCATAAAAATTATATGTAAAAGGTGTATAAAATATGTGAAATATGAATTTTTAATAAAGTAAATACTAAATTTATTTAAAGGTGTATAAAATATGTGAAATATGAATTTTTAATAAAGTAAATACTAAATTTATTTTTTATTTATTAAAAGACTCATTCAAATAGAACACCAAGGATCCTCTAGAGTGAAATTTTTCTAAAGTTTCCTAGAGTGCTATATTGTGTGGTTGAGATTTACTAGCAAGTCACATCAGAAAAATTGATGTGACTTGCCAGTAAATCTCAACCACACAATGTAATACTCTAGGAAACTTTAGAAAAAAATCACTCTAGAGGATCCTTACTCCAAATAGAAAGCAAAAGAATTATAGTGAGCTTAAAATTCTATTTTATGTACTTTCTTATTCAACTAAACAAAATTATATAAGAAAATGAAATTTTATAGAAAGGGAATCCCACACTCTTCAAATGGTGTGTATTATAAGTATCTTACGTATTTTTATAGTAATTATAAATATTTTACGGTTAAAAAATATATAACATTAACACAAAATACTAATTTTATTTCTAAATTATAAATTATCATAACTTTGGTAAAATTTTACATAATATTTATTAAAAAAGCGTAACTTATGAAAGTGAAAATGTAAAGGAATTTCTTAGAAATACTAATTAAAAATAAAAAACAAAGGGACAATTTATTTATTTATTTTTATAATGCAGCCAAGAAATAAATCAAAGCTTTGTTAGTCCAAAATGACACCGTAAAACTACTTAACAAGAGCTACTGTGCTTTGAGCAGAGCAGCATCCCCCATCTCAAAAGTCCTCGTGTCCTAATGGGTGTATGATTATTTGTCATATACGAAATCATAATCTTAAAAGGAAACAACTAATTAGGTAAGAAAATGAATAAAATAGGATATTGTGATATTTGAGTTTTATAGTGCTTAGTGTAGAATATTGTGATAGATATTGTGTAGAATATTTGATATCTCTAGTGTATCAATATTTTATATCCATAGTGCATCATCACCACTTTCGTTCGTTTTGGTAAAAATATTTTTCAATAAAAAACATTTTCTACAAAAAAAAAAAAAAATTTAGAAAATATTCCTTTATGCAAAGATATGTTTTACGCTCCATTTTGTTTTGATGGAAAACGTTAGAAAACGTTTTTCTATGTTTGGTTGCGTTCTTGAAACTAATGCATTAATAGTTGCATTAGTTGTGGTAGTAATGATAGCGGCAGGGCAGAAGATGAGGCGGTAGTAGTAGTTGTGGAAGTGGAGGTGTTGGGAATGGCGGCGGCGGCAGTGGCAGTAGTGGTGGTGGTGGTGGTAGTGATAGGGTGGAGGTGGTGGTGGTGTGGTGGTGATAGAGGTGATGGCGGCGACGATAGTGATAATGGTAGTGGTAGTGGTAGTGGTAATGGTGGTATGGTGGAGGCGATAGTGGCAGTGGCAATGTAGTGGCATGTGTAAAAGTTTAGTTCATAAAACATTTTTTGTCTTTTAAAAAATGAAAAATATTTTCCGTCTAAATAAGTTTGTTTTTCATTAGCTTCTAGTAACTTAAAGAACACTCCAGCCAGAAATGTCTAGAATATTGTCGGAGTGTTCAGTGACTTCAAGAATACTCTGGAAATTCCAATGACTTCTAATGGCGTTGACACTCTAGAGTATCGCCGAACTTTGTGTTTTTCTTCGAGTGACTTCAAGAATACACTGGAAAATTGCCAGAGTATTGCTGGAGTGTTTTGAATTTCAAGAATATCGTCAGAGACTCACCGGAATGTATAGAATATTGCTGAAAAGAAAAAAAAATAAATACAGAAATTACGGCAAAAAAATAACAAAATGTGCTAAATATTTATAAATTGAAAGGAGGGGAAAAAACTTAGCAACAAAACAGTAACAATGTGAAAAATATATGTTATTTTTTAATTTTGGTAAGGTTTAAGCAAATAATCTTCAATATTAATCAAACCAAAAAGTAAGTTTTCAAACTATAAAATTGTTATACAGTTTCACAGTATGATCCTATTAAGCATTTATGATTATTAATCAAATTGAGAAACATGTTATGAAATTGCAAAATTTGTAATAAAATCATGTTATGAAATTGTAAAATTTTACAGTTTTAAAGTATGATTCGTTTCGATACCAAAAAAATTAAAATTGAAAATTTTTACAATTTTCACCGCTTGTAACTAAAATTCTAAAACAATTTGTTTAGAAGTTGAAAATTTTCTCTATTAAAATGGGAAAACAAAAATGTGTAGTAAAGAAAAAATAGAAAAAACTAAGGGACAGAATGAGAGAGACAAAGAAAAGATTGTACTCCGACAACTATTTTTGATTTAGATCTAGCCTGATCTAATGTAGATTTGCTCAGATCTTTTTCATCAGAAACTCATCTCCTTCGACGTCGATAAGGCGAAGCAATGAGTCAGTGATCGATGGTTGTCAATGTGACTATATATCAAAAAAAGAAAGAGAAGAAGAAATGTGTAGTCGTCAGATATTAGAAAGAAAAGGAGAAATTAAAAAAAAAAGAAAGAAATCATAGAGAAAGTGAATAAGCAAAACACGCAAAACCTTTTTAGATCTACTCAAAAAGTTATAAGGTTAAATAAGTACACATCTTTAAAGAGGACATGCGAGTAATTAGCCATTTTCAATTTATATAATGCACAACTTGGCCTAAGTCCATGAGTCAATGCCTTTTCAATGTAAATGAGATGTCAAGATTTTCCGAGAATTAGGGACCTATTACATGGGCCCAATCAAAGAGTTCAATCAAACAAAAACCACCACCACATGTTTGCTGTATAAGTACATGAAATCAAGGTGCTTATCCTAGTTTGTGTAATGACTTAAAATTAAATTAATAAACTGTTTTTTAAGCCCTTTTTGTTTCCTTAAAAAAATAAAAATAAAAAAATCAACTCTTTTACGTCAGAAGAACTAATTTTTGTAAGCACTAACTTATTTGTAAAATTATTTTAATCGAATAAGGTAGGTTATAAGAAAATCAAAGGTAGCATGGTGAGTTTGGGATCAGTAAAATATATATATATATTTTGTTTAAAAATTTTGTTTTTTTGTCTTTATTCATTTTGTTTTAAATTTGTATCAATTTTTTTTTTTTTTTTTTTTTTTACTTTTCAGCTTTAATGTAGAATGATTTAAAAAGTTTTTTAAAAAATGTTGAAAAAATCACAATTTTTTTTTTCTTCAGCTTTTTTTTTTTTTTTATACTTTACTAGTATATGTAGTCCAGTAGAACCTAACACTCTCAAGATTTTTGAAATTTTTAAAAAGTTTACAAAAAAAAAAAAGAAAAAGGCCACCCAAACACACGCCTACATAGTAGAGTCCATCTTAGGTAACTTCGTTTGGAAACCTATAATGTGTTGTGTCTTGTGAGGACTGTGATAAGGACTATACATTGAGTCTTGAGTCCATGGGCCGGGGTTGGGGATATTTTTGTAATTTTATGTTACTTATTCGTTGCCCTAATTTGTTTGATTATAAATAAATGAAATCCACCTCTTATATTGTGTAAAGAGTTGTTATCATTTTTTAATAGTGAAAACCACAGTGACAAAATAAATCCCAATGGAATCTCCATCACCTCCCATCAAAAAAAGAAAAAAAATAGTCTCTCCATCACAGATCCACACCTGTAATTTCAGCTATCAATTATGTATACAAATGGCAAACCAAGTTTTACTGGAAGAAATAAAAAAAGGTTCAAATTTTGTGTTGGCTCGTTTATTATTCCATTTTATGTTGAGCTTGATCGCTGCAAGATCAAAAGGATGTACTTTGGAATAACTTCTTTCTTATTTGGGATAAAAAAGTATTGATGATCTGAATTTTATGTCTTTGCAGTTTACATTGATGGTGTCCAATCTTAAGGACAACAACAAGAATAACAGAATTACAAACAAGTCTATCTATATCGTTTGCTAATAGTGTGTGGATTGATCGAAGTTTCAGTTTGAACCCTTCATATAAAAGGATTTTGGAGGGTTCTTATAATGCTAAAGCCAAAGAGGTTGACTTTCCAAGCAAGGTAGTTTTCTATTTTTTTTTATTTTTATAATCTTTCTCTCATAGAAGACGCTAATATATTGTTAGCATAGTTCTAAATCGCGGTATCGGGTAACGTAACGGTATCGATCGCGGAGTATCGGTATTTGTAGTATCGGCCGGTACGCATCGGGAATCGGGTGTCGCGGCCGTGAAATTTTAAAAATCATTAAAAATCCTTCTGAAACTCAATTTTGTACATTTTTTTTACTCTTTTAACCTTAATTTGTCACATTTTAATCAAAATTTTGATATATAAGGGCACTTTTAACTCATTTTTAACTAAATGATATATATTTATTTTAGTCTCAATTATAACTTACAATTATCTACGATTTAAAATAAATCCACAATAGTATACCAACTAGACAGTATACCAAAGTTGCAAATTTGGCCCAAAACTCAATTTTATCATTTTTGCAAATTTGGCCCACAATAGTATACCAACTAGACAGAATACCCAGTACACCAACCCAGTGGTATTACCAACTAGACCCACGAGTTGGTTAAAAAACATATGGGCCAAGATTGCCCAAAACAACCCACCAACTATCTTGAGTAAAATATTTTGGCCCAAAACTATCACTAGACATTTATATAAAATATGAATATAAAGGTTGCTTGCTGCTGTAGCCTCAAAGCTTCAATGGCGCACGACCCAGAAAGGATTCTGAAACACGCCGGATGCTGCCGAAGAACATCACGACCTCGTCGTGAACCTTATAGTTGCACAGTTGCACTCCCACTTTAGCGAAGACCAGCAATCCAAAACCAGAAACAGCATCGGAGACGAGCAGCTCTCTGCGCTTTATTTCATCCGTACCGGCGACAACCAAGCTATATCGGACCGTATCGCCCAATGTATCGGTTTCAGGCCGTTACGTACCGGGACTCGGACACTACGGCCGTGAAATTCATTCTCGCTGGTATACCGGTGAGTATCCGACTCGGCCATCCCATTTTCCGGTACGAACCGGCCGGTACGGGACGTACCGGCCGATATTTAGAACCTTGATTGTTTGGGTTGAAAACAAGTCAAGTCGAGTTCAGTTTAGTAGTAAGTTGTTCAGGTTTGATTTAATTTAAAATTATGTTTAAGTTTGAGTTGTTTATATGATAAGTTGATTTTGAATGAACTTTTAGTTTATGTTGGGGATTTTTTGACTTTTTGGTAAAAAAAGATGTATGTTTGGGTTAACTTTTTGACCTTTTAGGAAAATATGTGTAATAAAATATTGTAGTAAAATTAAAATGACAATTTTACTCTTGGACTTTTTGACTTTTGACTTTTTGACTTTTTGACAATATTGTAATAATTTTAGTATAGTGGCTTCCCCTACAAGCTACCCTTGAATAGTATAGACTTTTTAATTTTTTAACTTTTTGATAAGGCTTTAATAAGTCGAATTTGAGTTAAGTTTAAATAACTTGATTTATTTTTATAGTGTTTATAAACTTGTTAAGCCACAAACTTAAAATTTTGTTCACACTTGATTTATTTATATAATGATTCGATCTCGAATAAGTTTTAACCCTATATATTGTGCATTAAGTAAGAAATTAATTGATGTAGTATATCAAAAACCTTGAATATATCCCCCCCAAAAAAGAACTTTGAATCCACAAAAAACTTTGAATCCACAAAGAAAAACAAATTATGATTAAATAAGAAACCCTAATCCTACAAGGAAACAATTTAGTTAGGCATAAATCAATTAGGAAATTATAAAATTTGGCAATATATGAGTTGAACGTCCTACATATTGTACAGAATATTTAGTATTGTTGATTTTAATTATGCCCAAATTTAGATACTATAAAATATTAGAAACATGCCAAAACGATAACACGAAAACAGGACATTCCAAAATAAAGTTATTGCTAAAATAAAAAAAAATTATAAATGCCAGAATTATTAATTTGAGCAAAAAAAAAAAAAAACCCAAAGTCTACCATGCATCATCACTACAGTAATGCAAGAAACATTAACTAGTGTACTAACTACACTAATTAGGGATTGTTTGGGATTAATTAATAAAGATAAAAAGTTAAAAAAATTACTAAAAAAAACTAAAATTCTAAACTATTAAAGGGTAGCATGTGAGGCAAGCCACTAGGGCAAAATTATTATTTTGCTCTTTGAATTCAACTATCCAAAAAATCAAAAAGTTAAAAGTCAAAAAGTCAAAAAGGTGAAATGGTCATTTTGATTACACTGTAATATTTTATTACACATCTTTGCATAAAAAGTCAAAAAATTATTCCAAACATATATATTTTTTTCTCTACTTTTTTAACTAAAAAGTTAACAATGCACTTATATAACATATTCCAAACAACCATCTAGTATTTCCAACATTATTGCCATCGCCAAGAACATCGATCTAAAAGGTATCTTTCATTTAGATTACCATGGATTCAAAGCTTATAAATTAAAAAAATTAAAACAAAATAAAACGAAACATTTTTGTTATTCATTCTATATCATCTTTTGTTGTTGTCTTTCAAGGCTGATCAAGTGATAAATGAAGTAAATTCATGGGTCAAAAATGAAACCAAGGGACTCATCAAGAATCTCCTTCCTCCTGGATCTTTATATGATGACACTGCACTCCTCTTTGCAAATGCATTACACTGCAAAGGACAATGGGATCAAAAATTCGATAAAACACATACAGGAAACATGAATTTTCATCTTCTCGATGGAGAGATCGTTCAAGTTCCTTTCATGACAAGCAAAAGAGACAGTCGTCATCTTTACAGATTATTCAGTGGATATAAAATCCTCAGCATTCCATACCAAGGTAGTAACTTCTCTATGTACTTTTTTCTTCCAAATGAAACAGATGGCTTGCCAAAACTAGTCAAGAAACTCAAGTCCAACCCTGGATTAATGAATCAGGAATTTGGGTTGAGGAAAGACGATGTTTCTAAATTATGGATCCCAAGATTCAAATTCTCATTCTAGTTTGAAGCTTCGGAGACCATTAAGCAAATGGGGTTGAAACTACCTTTCATGAATGTTGGTGAATTGATAGAGATAGTGGTAGGTGGTGGCGTTGAACGCGGTGGTCTTTTTCTCTCCAAGGTGTTCCATAAGTCATGTATTGAAGTGAATGAGGAAGGCACAAAAGCTGCTGCTAGTGTTGCATCCACATACAGGCTTGTCAGTTTGAGAATTCCAACTCCAATTTTTGTAGCTGATCACCCTTTTATGTTCATGGTAAGGGAGGAGACTTCAGGGGCTGTTTTGTTCACTGGTGTTGTGCTCAATCCTCTCTTAGTTGCTTGATATAGCTCTTCTTGAGCAAGGTGCTCAATCCTCTCTTATGCAAAGTTTTTCAACACTAACTCCCTTTGGTACAACTTATGGTTTTTTTTTTTATATTTTTTTTTTTAATTGCAATTCTATATATGGATATATTTGATGTTGTTTCTGTTTTCAATTTTTTTTATGCTACGCATTAGATTATTATAACTGGTCATTGACTTGAACCTAAACTATTATACAAAGTTTTAAGACATTGTAAGCTCCTTTGGAACAACTTATGGGGTGTTTATAAATATATTTTTAAATTGGAAGTCTGTATAAGGATATTTGATGTTGTTTTCTACTTTCATATATATATATATATATGTATTTTGACTACACGATTTGATGTTAATAAGTTTATAGTGTTGGATTATTATAACTAGTTGTAGAGGGTCAGAAATTAAACCCCAAATTAAGTATGGGCCTAAGTGCTAAGGTCACCTTTCTAAGACAACTAGGAATGAAAAGAGAGCATGGGCTAAAACCCAAGGGAAGTGGACCAACAGTGGGCCGAAGCAGGTCCGACCCACAAAGAGTCCAAAAGGACTCCACGAAGAAAAATGCCTAGGTGAAAGTTGCAAAGGGAACACTTGCGGCGGTCAAGTTGCTAAGGCACTTTGCCTTAGCACCATCATTCTCCAATAATGTCGGTTCAGCCGCCACCTGAAGTTGCTGAGGGAAAAAGAAAGCTGAAGCAACTAAGTTGCAGAGGCGACACGGCCAAGTTGTGGAGGTACTTTGTCTCAGCGCCACCATTCCAAGTATTGTTGGTTCCGCCGCCATCTAGAGTTGTTGAGGGAAGGAGAGAACTGAAGCAACTAAGTTGTTGAGGCATTACTTGCAGCGCCCAAGTTGTAGAGGCACTTTGTTGGCGCCGCGGGAAATGACTATCGTAGCAACTACAGCTGTCGCAACCAACTTGCAGAGGGAACATCCCGCCAAGGTGATAGCAGCCTTTGGGAAAAGCTTTCCTTCTACAAGTAGAGGCTAATGCTTGCCGTTGATAGCAGGCCCCAAGACTTACTGGTTGGAGCTGATAGCAGGCCCAAAAATATCAATTTACTGCGGCAACCCCGCGAAGATGGGAGTAGGGTAGCTCGAGCACAAGGGACTCTCTTTCCATTTACCCAGGTCACGAACCTGCCTTAGTTGCACAGACAGGATTAATGAAGCCCCTTTGGGCTTGGTACTAACAGTATGGCTGATAGTAAGTTCGGCTGTGGCCTTCGCCCTGGAAAGTTGGGGAGTTTGTGGTTAGTGGCTAAGGGTGGAGGCTTCGCTGAAGTGAGCATGAACATAGTTGATAGTAAACTAATGGATTCTTGAGAATGCATGTACTGGCGAAGTAGAACTGAGAAGGCAAGTGCAGCAGTAAGGTTTACCGTTGCAAGTGCACTTGTTGAGGTTCGAGCTGATAAGGCAAGTGCAGCGACAAACACTTTCGCCGCAACTGCACTTGTTGAGGCTCAAAAGGGAGTTGTAGCACGAAACACTCCCGTCGCAACTATACTTCCTGAGGCTCAAAAAAGGTAGTTGTAGAGGAAAACAGATAGTACATGCAGAGGGACACGTGGCACCTTCAGTCTGGTGGCTCAAGGCAGAATATTCCACGTGATCCTCTAGGACACATGTCCTCCTTTTATTTGGCCACTTGATGTCCTCTTGGTACCAAGGAAAAGCCTATAAAAAGGACCCATTTCAAGGTTCAAGAGAAGGAATTTTGGGGATTTGGGGGAGATACTGCCCGTTTGTGCACTGCCATACTTTTCTTCTTGAGCTACCTGCTTGACCCTTACCTAGCTACACACTCTCCAACACCCAGACAGTTGCTGCTGCTCATTCTTCATCCATTCCACCATTGTTGGACCATTAGCATAGTTTTTCCTCTCTAATCACCTTCCTAACCTTGAACCCTCCTACATTTTTGGCGACTCTGCTGGGGACGCTGCTTTGTTGCTGGTTCATACCCGCCGTGGTTTACACATTTCACTAGAAAAAATGACAGAGGATGAAGTTCAGTAACCCCCACGGCAGCAAGGCTCTTCCAATAGCGGAGTAGCATATGCGGAGAATCGTGACCATAGTGTTGTGGTTAAGGCAGTCCAGTCACTCTAGGATATGCAGAAGGAGATCCTGATAGCTTTACAAACTCTCACTAATGGCGTCCAGACCAGCTCCAGCGTAGGCACCTCTGCCTGTACCAATCCCAAACCTAGTGCCTAACATGTTTCCTGGGAATTAGGCCCCAATCTAGCTGCCTCCGGTGGTACCCCAGGCGAATGGTACGGCTGCTGGTTCAGCTACCCAAGAGCAGACTAGACCATTCCAACCCACTCACTTTGTCACGCAAGTCGATGTACAAGCTATGCTTGAGCAAGAGCGCAACAAGAAGCAACTACCATCTCTCCCTGACCCAGATGTGAAGCCTCCATACTCTCAGGAGATATTGGTTATGCCATACACAACTGGGTATACAGCACCCAAATTTGTCGAGTTTGATGGGATGCAAGGCAATGCCCGAGAACATATGGGGAGGTTCATTGAAACACTTGGTGTCTATGGTAGTGACCACTCTCTGCACCTTTGGGAGTTCTCCAAATCACTTACCGAAAGAGCTTATAGCTGGTATGTGAACTTGGCCCCCAACTCGATCAAGAGTTGGGAGGAGATGGTGAACAAGTTCCATATGAAGTTCTTCCAACTTCAAGAGAAAGTTACAACCCTCACGATTAGGCGAGATGTCCAAAAGGAAGGTGAGGATATACTGGACTATGTCAAGCAATTCCAAGATAAGGCTATTGACTGTCATGAGCTAGTGGATGAGGCCCACTTAGTCAGCATATGTGTGGAGGGTGCCATACGCGACTATAAAATTTTCTTGGTGAACCATAATCTGCCTATCTTTTCAGCCTTGGTTGAGGCAGCTAGGAACCTCAGTATCATTGGCCCTCTGCATAGATCTCGCGATAGTCACCTCTACTCCCGCAGTAGCAGAGTTATTGTGGTAACCTCTGGAGGAGGGAGCCGCTCGCAAGGGAAGGCATCATCCTCTCGGAAGAGGAAGAGTTATGAGGACATAAATAAATTTCTATGCAGCCTTGAGAATGTTAAGGCCTTCGTTAAAGAATGGGTAGCCGATGGTGAGCTTACTTTGCCTCCGGTTGATGTCCTTACAACCAAGAAGGACAAAGAAATCCCAGATTATTGTATCTATCATAGAGCCACCAGACACCTTACTAGGGATTGTTGGGCTTTCAAAAGTATCTTCAAGAAGAAAGTTGACACAATGAGCTGAAGTTCAAAGATGCCAGTAACCGTCATGTAAGGAAGGACCCTTATCCTAACCACAAGGAGAAGAGGAAGAATGTACACATGATTGGCTATCTTAGGCCTGTATGCGATCAAGTGCACATGGCGTCCCACTATGATGAGTCAGAAGAAATTACAACTGGCCAGCTCCTCGAAACAGTGCCTGCAAAAGAAAAACTTGCAGAGGATACTCATGCTCAAGCTTTGCAAAATTTTGTCAATTTTCGAACCTTCTTTGACCAGTTGGGGCTGAGCCAAGCCGCAAGGTTGGAAGCAACAAAGGCCCTCATCAGCATCTCTAAAGTGCACCATACTCAAGTTGCTGAGGCTAAGGAGTTGTGGGGAAGTGGTTTTTGGAAATACTCTTTTGATCCTGGGGGACGCTCGTGATCCACCAATAGGCACCTGAAAGGAAGTAAACACTCCGGTCGAGGTGCCAGAATTAGCACTCCGACGGACAAGTCAGTCTCTCGTTCTAGATTACCTGTATGCTAAGTTAAACACCACAATTATCACATACCTCTTTCTGGTTGATGTCTCTTCTATTTATATCTTTTCTTCTTTGTGCCTTGGTATTAGTTCCAAATCCAACCTCCTATTCGGCATATTTTGTAATAAACCGATCTTCATTCGGCCCCTTGCTTAATTGATTATCTGGCCGAATAAGGTTGGGTCTGAGTTTCCGTGGCAATGGCCAAATGTTTCGAATCTTGATTCTTCAATGTTCGACTCTCCGGAATCTCTACGACTCCCAATATTCGGCCCCCACAATTGCCCCCCAAGCACTCTACTAGCGGCAGTTGGCTGGAGTGTTTGGCTTTGAACTCGAAGAGTCAGAGCCAAAATTTTGTGGCTGATCGTGTTCCAACGCGAATGTCTGTCGACACGCTTCTCGGTTATCATTTCAACTTTCTGTCTCTTCATACCCTCATTTATTGTGATTTAAAATTTCGACGACTTTTCAAATAGATACACGCTTTTAGACGCCCGTCGCTCGATTGCCTTCCGAACTACCTCTGTGACCTCCTACTCTTCTTTACCTCCTTCGCCACTTGTAAGTTCTCTCCTTCTTTGCTTTGTTTTTTTTCTTAGCACAATCATATTGGCTGGGGAAAATGGCGAAACATTTAAAAGATCTCCTCTCACCGGATTGAATTTTTGGCTTCCGACGCCATTTTTCCATCCCTGATGACGTCCGCCTGTCTTTTGTGGCAGACGGCACCCTTAATATGGAGAGGGTTGATGAAACCACAATCGTCTTCCCTCTTCTATCAATCACAGAGGGCAAGGTCTGTTTCCCCCTGCACCCACTCCTTAGGGCCGTGCTTTGCCATTGGGAGCTAATCCCTTCGCAGCCCAACGTCAATTTCTATAGGATTGTGATGGGGATTGTCGCACTAAACCACCGCCTTGGGCTTAACCTTGGCATCCCCGCTATTCAGCATTGCTACACCTTGGCCAAGTCTTCTGGTCAGCACGAGCGTTATTTCCTTAGAGCCAAAGACACCGACCATCAACTAGTGACTATGCTTTCCAGCTCTGGGAAGCGAGTCGATGATGTCATGGTCGTCATCCAAGGAAACTGGGAATTCGGCGAAGGCGAGGATCACCTTGATCGTATTCCTAGACGGAGGGGCGAACCAGGTGGCCGAGTATCATCTTTTATTCAT